ATTATTAGTTGTTGGTTGGCATTTTCAAAACAAAATAAATTGTGGATAGCACAATTTGATTAATTAGTCTACATGATTCTGATTGTGCCTGCATTTTTAATTACTTTGCCATAAACTTTTGGCATGAACTCTTTTGGTAGTATATAGGGAATTGACTAAAATAATTTAGATTTACTCTGCTTTCCTCCTTTCTTCCTCTAATGCACAACTAGTGCAGGATATTCAGCCTCATATTTTCTCCCTTCCTCCTACTCTTCCAAAGCTTCCTCAGTTCCCAAACCTTGGGTTGCCTCGTAAGAACAAGTAAAGTGAAGTGCTGCATTGAACCATCCAAGAGCTTTTGCAGTGAAGCAAACCAATATGATGACCCGTGCCACCGATGTTCAAAGCTCTGTGCTAGCTTGCTCATAACCCTGCTGTTTTATTGGCGCAAAAGCATCCTAAAGTACAAGGCTGGGGCTCCAGAAGAAAACGCAAAGAAACTTGTGGCTGCCCGGGCTTTGTGCAGTGCTTCTGAAATGAGCATCCTTGCATCTAACCAGGCGCTCTCGCATTGGAAGAGGCAGGTAAGCAACAGCTGGAAATCCCTCAATTAGCGTGGAATTAATAATAATGATACAGGTTGGCATTTGGGGAACGTTCGGCACGTGCAGCCTCTTGGCGAGACGCAAGGTCTCCTCGGGTGTCACGGAGGCGCGATCCTGGGGAGCAGCCGCCGCCGCCGGGTCTCCGCTCCCTTTGCAACTTCTGGGCTTCGGGGTGGGGAAGAGCCTCTCGGCGCAGGTCGGGGAAGCCCTCCCCGCGCAGCTGCGCTTTCCCTCTCCGCCTCTTCACAGGCTCTCCAGAGCCAGCGCTTCTCCCTTCCCGGCGGCCGCCTGCAAATGGTTAAGCGGGCGGGCGAGCGGGGGGGGGGGGGGAGGCCGCGGGAGGAGGGCCTGGAAGAGAGGCGGCGGGCGCTCATGAAAAGCATCCTTCTCTAACAAGCCAGGAGGACCTTCCCACCTCGGGTGGCAACGGCGGCGGCCGGGGGACGCCTGCGCCCTCCCTCAGCCGCCGCGCAAGCCGCCGGCTGGAGCACGCCCCCCACCCCGCCGCCCCCGCTCCCGCTCCGCCCTCCCCTCCCCTCCCCTCCCCTCCCCCCCGGCCCCCCCTGCGCTCTCCGCACGCACGCACAGAGGCAAGTTAATGGGGAATAAAGAGGCTGGAGACCACGGCAAGTGCCTGCTCCTTACAAATGAGCCTCCAGGCAGCTTTTCCTCCCCCGCCCCCGCCTCCCCCCCCTCTGCTGAGGAAGGAGGGGCGGCCAAATGTGGCCGCTCGCCGCGTCGAGCGCGCCGGAGGAGGCGGCGGCGGCGGCGGGGGGGGGGGCGGGGGGGAGGGGAGGGGATTTGTGCGGAAAGCGGAGCAGTGGCCCGTGCGCGCCTCTTGTTCCCGGTGTAATTTGCAGCCAATCATCAGTAGGTGTCCACAGCCCTGCATCCTCCTCACCTCCTCGGCGCGGCTCAACCTTCCCTCTCCCGCCCCCCACCCGGCGCGCTTCCCCCTCCCCCTCCCCCCGCCTCCTCGCTTCCCCTCCCCTCCCCTCCCCTCCCTCCCTCCCCTCCCCCAGCAACCGCACACACGCAGGCACACACAAACAGAGAGAGGGAGCGAGCGAGAGAGACTCCCCCGGCTGCCTCCCTCCCTCCCTCGCACACAGCGACTGGAGAGACGGACGGAGCGCAACGCGCGGGGAGAGGAGACCACCGAGCACCTCAGCCGAGCGCTCTCGCACACATTCACGCACGCACACACGCGCGCACACGCACGCACACACACACACACGGTGCCTGCTCTCTCCTCGCGCCCCCCTCCCTTCCCTCCTCCCCCTTTCTCTGCAACAAGAAAAAAAAGGCACTTACAGGTATTTACTTAGTGGATCGGCGTCTTTATTTCTTCCCCAACGACCCTCCCCCCGCTTCATCACCGCCCTTTACAGTTTGTTTACAAGTATCAAAGTTGTAATTGAGGAGCTGCCAAAGACACATCGGGATCTTCTTCTTCTTCTATTTTTTTTTACCCCTTCTTTGTGTTAGGGAGTGATGTGCAACTAATTAAAGACAGACAGGCGGGTTGAGCGTCTGCAAACCCAAGCTCCCCCATCCCCCCAAAAATACTGAAACTGGTAAGTGATTGTTTCTGGATGTTTTTTCTTTCTTTCTCTTTTCTTTTCTTTCTTCTCCCTTCCCCCCTTCTGCTCTTGTGTTCTCTCTCTCTCTCTCTCTCTCTCTCTTCCGCCTCTTGGACCGCTGGGGTTGTTAAAGTAGATGAATGCTAGGCTTGGGCAATAAAAGGCGCTGCTGTATTAATTTATTAATTAATCTGCACCAGCCCCTCCTCCTGAATGTTAAATATGACCTTTGATCTCTGTCTCTAACAGAGCAGAAATGTAATACTGAACATGTACAGTCACACCGGCTTAAGCAGGGAGCAAATCGTGAATTCCTAGCTGTTTTTAATTATCTTTTTTTTAAAGAAAGACTGCTAATAATAATCGGGTGATAGTTTTAATTTGTTAAAAATAAATAAAAATAAATCAATAGCTGCGTCTTAGAGACCTCTTTCGCGCTCTGGTGATGCATCGATTAGATAATAATGTCCTGGTAATTTTCTCTTTTCTGGTACCAATAAACCTTGCAGGAGGATTGGGGAGGGGGGCTGAAACGGTTGCAAAGACAGCTTTTGTGAAGAAAATCCACTTTAATGCTACGAAAAATGGGGCATGAATGCGTGTTCTATTTGGAGACCGTCTTATTATTGTTTGGAAGGCTCAGGCAACGCCACTATCCTCCCCAGATTTTTTACTTACACAGAATCAAGGAAACTACTTGTATCAAGTAGTTGCTGTGAACAGAGCAGAGGCTACAGTTTCAATTTTTGTGGTTGCTGTTCTAATGTAGCCTTATTTTATGCGTGTAACCTGAAGGAAGTCTCCTTGGTTTTATGCGTGTATGCCTTCAGAGTAGGGACAAGACTTTCTCATTGCCATCAAAGCCCTACGGGGAGCAGGGGTTTCAATTTTTTGCCTGTTGTGAAAATGCAGAGGTGTCTCTTGTCTGATTAGGGTCTTTCAGCGATTGAAGGATGAATGTTGGTTCCCACTCCAGGCAAAGCTGGGGGGTCTTTTTCCACATCTCCGCTCCCATCACCTTGATTAGTTTACCTAAACCTTGCTTTTACTATAGCCTATCAGTAAGCTGTTGAAGTTTTTTTGTTTGGTTTTGTTTTTTGCAGCTGGTAGGTTGGGCTACAAACAGTTCATTAGTCTAATTATGAGTGTAATTAGTATAATTGAAAAATATTTTTCAACCATAAGAATGGTGTGTAAAACTGCATCTGGGCCATTTTTAGTATCTCTGGAGATCCTAATACTCTGTTTACAAATAAAGACAGTGTGGGATGAGGAAAGATGTAGGCAAAACATTTGGAACGGAGAGCCACATTCTGGATCATGCAGATCCGGGAATGTATCATGTGTCCTGTTTTGGTTTTGCTTCCTAAGATTGGAAAAGTGTGTCCTCTCTTTCTGTTACAAGCTAACATCTCTGTCTTACAGTTTTGTAGGAATAGCCTATGTGCAATCCATAAGCATTAAAAGGATAAACCTATAGACCATTCCATTATATTAATAGTTACTTGAGCAGGTAACCATGTATCTTGCAAATCCTTGAGAGACAGACAGAGGCCCTGATATGATGCACCTTGAGATTGTGTGTGTGGATAGATTAATGTTGTGTGCAGCCTCCTTGGCTCTGGGATTAAACAGCATGCTGAGAAACTATGTTCAGTCCCCCCGCAACTGTAGGATCTTGGCTCAAAACCTGTGAAATTGCCTTGCTGCATTTCCCCATCCAGGCAACTTTTTCTCATTTACTTAATTTCTGGGAACAGCACCTCCTTGGATACCCCTTCACCAAAAGAGACCTGGCCTTGGGACTCTGTAACCGCACCAGCTGTGGTAATGACCCCCAGACAGAGAAGGACACTGAGGCATCTGGTAAATCTCCAAAGGATGGAATAAGTCAAGCTCTACCGAGGGATTGTCTCAATATTCTGATGGAAAAGGGTTTGGCGGTTGGATGCTGCTGGCTCACGGTTCATACTTTCTAACGCCTGACAGGACTTTTCTCTTTCCTCCCCCTCCCCTTTCTCAGCACTCCATTTGCTAATTTCCTGCTCGTTTTCTCCTTCAAGGCTGCTGCTTTCTGCTTTTCAGCACCGGCGCGCCCTGGCAACCTGGCTTGTTCGCACATTTCCTAATGCTCTGATGCCCTCTGGTTAGAGGATTTGAGCCCTTTCCCACCCATCATTAGCATGCGTTTAGCACACCAATTGCCCCCTTCTCCCTTGGCATTTGTCAGGCCTCCCCTATTCCCAGCGATTAAAGCATTTACTGCGGGGGAGGGGGGAGGTGAGGGGAAGGTAGCCCGCGGGAGAGGAGGGGGCGGCTGCGGTGGCCGGATCATGTCTTCATTGATTGTTATGCAAACGGGCTGCAATGACGGATGCCCCGCTCTTCTCTGCATGGGTTGTGTAGTATCCTTTGCTGCTTTAACCCGAACCGAACCACACAAGCACGGCGCCCTTCGGGGGAGCGGGAGGGTGTCCCCTTCTCTGGCATATATAGACATCTTTCCCGAAACGACTTTCTTTATTTCAGTTGTGACAGTTCCTGGGGCGGCGGAGAATGCAAGCGAGGAGGCTGCCTGAGACTTCGCGGTCTGGAGGGATGCACCCCAAAGAGGATTAAAGGGCATCGCTTCCCCCCCTCCCCTCCCCCTCCCCTCCGCCCCTCCGCCTCCCCAGCTCCCGCGCCTGCCCCCCCGACGGATCCAGTGGCCCTCCTCCCCGCCCTGCCCTTCCCTCCCCTGGCCCTCCCCGGCCCCCCCTTCCTCTCCTCCTCTCCCTCCTCCTTCCCCCCCACCCTGCTGCCCCAGGCCCACCCCCACCCCTTGGGCACCATGAACACCAACGTGTGCGTGGAGACGGGGCCCAACCCCGAGGCGCCCGGGCTGCCCAAGGAGAACCACCTGCCCGACGGCGCCCTCAACAGCCTTGTGGATTACAACTCGGAGATGGAGAGGTACCGCTCCTTCGCCACCTTCTACAAGACCAACGGCGGGGCCTTCCCGCAGGCGGCCAAGATCGCGCGCATCACCACCCCCATCTTCCCCAGCGCCGCCGCCGCCGCCGCGGCCCGCATCGGCATGTCCCCCTGGAACTGCGACAGCGCCACGGCCGCCGCCGCCACCGCCATGCTGTGGGGCAGCGGCGCGGGCGGCGGGGGCGCGGGCGTCGGCGGGCCCAACCCGGTGGCGGCCGCGGGCGGCGGGGTGGCCCGCAAAGCCGCGGCGGCGGCCGCCGACGCCCGCGCCCTACAGCCTGGCGGTGGCGGCGGCGGCCGTGGCGCTGTCGCAGTTCCAGGGGGGCATGCCGATGCGGGCCGCGG